CCCCTTCACCTATTTTTTTTTTCTCTCTTTTTTCTTTTTTGTACAAAAGGGGCCAAAGCCCAAACACAAACAACCCATGCTTCTTTTATCTTTTGTTCGACAACAACCCCTCTTATTTTCTATTTTGGTAGAAAATAACCCCCTTCACTTCACACACCCTTGCACATAGAAAATAGAAAAGAACTATGTACTAGATGTGTTTTTAGAGGTAAAACTCATTATGTCATCATGATTAGAGCATCGCCAAGAGAGTTGCTATCCTCTCATCCCTAGCTATTTTGGCTAAAAAGAAGGAAAATCCTAAAACCTCCTTTCCCATAAAACAAACGGGCCTTATTGCCTTTAGTTAACTTGTAGACCAACTCTGAAGATAAAATAATATAAGAAAAGAAGACTACTTACATCCGCACGTTAAGCCTTTAATATATTTGCAATAAACATATATTTACTTTGCCTTTCACAGCGCCAGAGTCTCCACTTATGGCATATTTACTAATCAGGAATTGGAATTCTCATCAGGAATTGAATTCCGCCTATGGAGAATTCCTGCGTTTACTTCACATAAGGAATTGAAAAAGTAAGCGGGCCCCACACAAAATTAGGAATTGAATTCCTGATTTTGGTGGAATTCAATTACTAAATGGGAGGTGGTATTCTAATTCCTGGATAATTCACCCATTAGGAATTCATCTTTTTTACCCATTATATTCTCACACAATTTTCAAAATTCCAAATACGCCATCTACTTTAACCAAAAAATGAGGACATTTTAGTAATTAGTACCACTTTTACCCCAATTCCATATGATTTAGTAAACAACTTCAATATTTTTACCCATTATATTCTCACACAATTTTCAAAATTCCAAATACGCCATCTACTTTAACTAAAAAATGAGGACATTTTAGTAATTAGTACCACTTTTACCCCAATTCCATATGGTTTAGTAAACAACTTCAATAAGAATTCGGAATCTAACTCCCCTCAATCCATATGGTTTAGTAAACAACTTCATTAGGAATCTGGAATCTAATTCTCCTCAATCCAACTCCTTCTCAATTCAATTCATCCTCAATTCAATTCCCCCTAATTCAATTCCGGATTAGTAAACATGCCATTAATATATTTCATTTGCAAGAGAGAGAAGAAAATAATAAAATATTTGAGACTAGTCAAAATAGAGAATATTGCTGGAGAAAACACATTTTAAATAGTTTGCTATAATGACTTTCTAGCTATTTTAGCCAGAATTGGCTAAAATTTGGAGACTTTCTTGGAGATGCTCTTAGGTGAAGTCTTTTGTTATCAATGAATTTCACTTTGTATTGTCAAGGTTAATAGCTATATGCATAAAGTAAATTTAGCTCACCCCAATTTGAAATCCTGGATCTATCTTTGGTCACATTTCATGAGTTGTAATTGTATACGGAGAAACTGACGTCCAGCACAAGTATGCGCTTTATGATTTCGCTTTTGATTGCTTTTATTTTTATCTCTTTTTGTTTTTTGGTATACAAGGCTTTTATCGCGCTTGGAGTTTGGATGGAACAAACAAAGAGCAATTAATGCCTTCCTTCTGAGAAAATATATAATAGGAAGTAGGCACCTTTGGAAAATAGGAAAAAACTAGGATAAAGAATAAGCACAATCCAAGATATCTTTTGTCCTGAGTTCTCTGCCAATTTCCTTTTTTGTTTTTTGGGGAGCAGAAGCTTCTATAAAAAAAAAAGAGAAATTAGTTATTAATCAAAGTTAGTTAATTGGACATAATTAACCTCTACTCCGTCAGCATAACATAAGTAATAGCGAACAATATTGTATATAAAACAAATTTCAAATTCATGCACCACTATAACTTAATACAGCAGGAACATTAGCATATATTATATATGTACCCTCAATGTGATTTGATGATCCGAACTATATATATCTATTTTTTAGGGCCTCCTTTCAAACATTATTCTTGCAAAAAATAAATAAAATTGTAAATCACTTAGTCACGTAACTCTAATGAATTATAAATAGATGAACACAGAGGTTTCAATAAAAACACTAAAATTAATAATCATACGTACATACGGTATGATGATTAAATGATTAATCAATTTTTTATCTTTAAAAGAAAACTTAATTATAAAAAACACTATAAATGAATGTATATGTGTATATATAACAACTCTCTACAGTGGCGTCACAAACGCTTTCTTTGCTATATATATATATAGAACGTAATCATTAGACTAGCTAGTGCAAGAGGCCAGAGATGGAGAGGAGAAAGTGGTGGAAGTGGTGGATGGAGAAAGTGGTGGAAGTGGTGGATGGAGAGGAGGAAGTGGCGGATAGAGAGGGGACACAGCTGTTCGATAAAGCCATGAAAGGCCAGTGGGGAGATGTTGTGGAGGTCTATAGATCATCAGAGAAAGTTCATGATTTGGTAATCACCAAAATGGGGGACACTGCTCTACATATCGCTGCTTCCGATGGCGAAACAGAAATTGTGCTGCAGTTGTTGGGGCTCATTGGAAACAATATATTGGAAAAACCAAACAACAAAGGCAACACACCTCTCCATTTAGCTGCTGAAGTGGGGGATGAGGAAACGTGTCATGCAATGGCCACTAAAGACCCCAAACTCGTGTCGTCTCTCAACAATGAGAATGAGACCCCTCTCTTCTTGGCAGCTTTTAATGGGCATGAGAACGTTTTTCTTTGCCTTCATAGTCACTGTGTTAAAGAAGGATGCTATTCGCTTAGGACAAGTAATGGTGATACCATTCTCCATGCAGCTATATCTCCGGTGAATACTTCAGTAAGTGTGTGGCCTACCCACTTCTTAAAGAGTGCTGCTATTTGTGTACCATCACATTGTTGATCATATCCCGAATACAAGTGGATCTCATATATATTGGTGGGGTCCACTTCAGCAAAATGATCAATAAATGTGACACAAATAGTATTATTATTACTTCTTAAATATATATTATTTGTTTAAAACTTAATATCATTTTTTATTATTAATTTCCTTTTTAAATATATAGGTATGGCATTCCAGATCATTCTGTGGCATCCAGAACTTGTTAACTATATTAATCAGAGTGGCTTCTCTCCCCTGCATATTCTAGCCAATACTCCATCAGCATTCAAAAGCGGTAGCCGCCTTAGACCGTTGGATCGTCTCATTTACCATTGTAAGAATATCTCTACTGATTTTATTTTTTATTTTTTGGTCTATGATCAAGCTTTTGGATGTTTAATTCATGTAATACAATGCTAATGCATTTGCACTTGGCAGTTTCATGTCTCACTTCGTAATTACTAGGCTTTCAGGGTACAAAATTATTAAAAAAGAGAACTATGATGTTATGAGTCCTTTTTAAGTAAGTATATACATCACACATGTACCTGTTTTTTGAAGAGAAAATAAAAATATATATAGTTTGTTTGATCATTATAAGGGTGTTATTCATGTTTCCAAAAGAAAAACTCAATCCCTAATAAAAGTATCGCATACAATCAGTAAATCCAGAGGCGGAGCTAGAATCAGTAAATCAGTATACTCTATATCTTGCAACTGTAGGGACCTTGGTATATCATGCACTGTACTTCTGTCCGTATAAGTTTTTACATTACATTTATCAGGTTTGATTGTTGAAGAGCTAAAACGGGGAAAAGAGGACAAAAAGATTTGTCCCCGAGGCAAAAATGGAAGGGATATCGACAATACGGGTTCTGAATCTCATCAAGCATTAAATGAGTGCTCGTCACTTATCAAATTTAGAGGTTGATTTTTCATCACCGTACATATTTACTTACCACAAGTCTAATAGTCTCTCCATTTCCAGCTAAATCATGGGGAAATAACATGTGTTGTTCTCTTAGTCTAGCTACGAGAGAAAATAAAAAGGAAGATGCAGAGAATCCCCAAGAAAAGAGCAGCTCAATGCCAGGTAAAGTTGGGTAACCATAATGTCCTTTGAACTTGTAGTGAACCTTATCACTTCTCATGAATGGTGTTATTCATGATGTTTTCTATGGAAAACAACCCTTAAACTGTAAAATACATATCTTAAATAGAGAAAATAAACATAAACAGATGCACATAAGCCAAAAAAAAATTCATTTTCACTATTTTGAAAACAGAAAAAGAAATCTATTACCAAACATGTTTTCAATTTTCAAATTTTTTTTATTGAAAACTGAAAATTAAGGCCCCGTTTGATAACCATTTCAATTTTAGTTTTTAGTTTTCATTTTTCATTTTTTGTGCTAGAGTATAGATGAAAAAGAGGGAGAATGGAAGTGAGGATGAGACGTGTGGAGATGGGATTGAAAGAGAAAATGAGGAGCGGATGGGAGGGAGGACTAACAAAAGTGAAAACAAAAACTAAAAATTGAAATTTATTTGAAATTATTTTCACTTTCAAGTTTTTATTTTCACTTTTGTTACTCCTTCTTCCCATCCTCCCCTATCATCCTCTCTCTCAATTTCAAATGGTTATAATTTCTTCGTCTAATAAGTAAACATGGAAAATAAATAAATAACATTAAATTTTTAAAATGAGAATCCTTTGATTTTCCCTATATCAAACTCCCCCTAGTCAGAAAAAACTCATCCTCGAATCCGAATTTTCGTTGACTCCATGATAATCTTGAAATTGAAATTTAATAAACTCTGAATATTTACGCATTCTTAAAATTTTCTGTGATCACAACTGCACAAAGTGCATCTTGTCAAGGAAAATAATTCAATTATAAGACATTACGAATACATTGATAAAATGTTTAAGACTGACTTTTGGATTGCCATTAATTTCAATATGTGCAACTTTTTTAGCATTGTTTTCCTTCCTGTTTTTCAAATTGTAGGTATGAACCAACGAGAGGAACGTGGGAGAGAAAGTCGTCCCAATTATATTTACTCCTCATGTGTTAAGTTTTTCAACTTAATCACACCTGTCTTGGTATCGATCAATGGTCAGTACTATCAAACTTTGTGGTGAATCCGTTAATTTACACTTTGGTTTAAGAGCAAGGCTTGGCTTCTTAAAAGTAAGGAGGAGCTCATCTTAAAAAAAAAAGAAGGAATTTTGACACTTGGCAAATTCCAAAACAAAGAAAATTAAAAGAATTTGAAGGAAAAAAAAAAGAAAAAAAAAAGAAAAAATCTCATT